ATGTCAAGACCTAGAGAGAGTTACATTAAAAACTTACATATAAAATCTCAAATAAACTAATTTATAAATTACATAATTTTTCAAAAAAATCTATTTTATATATTAAGATTTGTAGCCTAATAATGTACATCATTTCTAAAATACTAAATCATATCAAAATTTGTTTATAATCTAACAAAAACCCGCGCTTTTGAAGCGCAGGTCAAAATCTAGTCTACTCTATTAAAATAGAGTCATTCTTTTTATCTACTGATACAAGTTGTCATTTAAATTTGGACAATTTCTACAAAATGTTACAAATAATATAAGTCATATAATTGATTAAACCGTATTACTTAAATTAAACCAACACAATTAATGTAAAGAGACGACCTTAATGTAAACTACCTTCAAAATATGATAGGTATCTATGTGTATACCAAAAACACATATTTTCTCCTACAAATATAGAATGTTCTAAAAGAATATATATATATCATCAAAATATTGAATATGGAAATCTACTTATTATACTTAAATTAAACCAGTAGTTATTTATGGAATATTGTCTTGGGTTTACTTTTGTTTTTTGAACAAATTATATAGTTTGGTTTTTGGGCTTCGTATTAAGAAAAAACTCCAAAAACATTGAATAAACTTTTCACCTTAAAAGATAAAAAAATCAATTATTATTTTCAGACCCAAAAGATATTTAATATTTTTAACAAAACAAAATTATCTATTATTAATCATTTATTTAAATCATGTACTTTAAAACATGTTTATATATTTTTTTATTTTAAATAACAATCACTTTGTTTTGATAAATTTCAATGGTAACTTTTAAATAATTTATTGTTTTATTTTTCTTAAATAATTTACTGATTAAAAAAATGTAAAGCAAAACCAAAAACCAAATCTAAAAACTAAAATCCAAAACCAAAAGCTGAAAACATATGTTATATTTTTTTGCTTTGTTTATTTACAAAATAAACTATTTCAATTTTTTATTTTAAATTTGTTATCATCTTTTCAGTTTTAAATTAGATGTTCGATTATTTGAGATTTGTTTGTTGGTAATATTAGTTCAAACTAACTCAACGGGTTTAAAAATTAAAAACCCAAACCAAAAACTGAAAATGAAAAGTAGAAACTTGAAAACTAAAAACCAAAATCTAAAAATAAAAACTGAAACTAAAAACTAATGAAAAACAATCATCACCACAAATTTTGGTGAACTGATTTTATATCAAAATATTCTTTAAATTAAGACAAAACCCAATTATATAAATTTTTAATTATTAAAAAATTCCGCGCTTTTCAAACGCGGATCAAAATCTAGTAGACATTAAAATATTAGTATACAATCATACGTCAAACAGCACTACCATATATACTTTCCTTTTTTTACCATATTACAACTTTGCTTATGTTAATGAGGCGACAGTAATTTATGGTGACGAAAGTAGGTTGCCTACTAGGCGGTGTCTCTTAATTGCACTAAAATACAGGGATCCAAAATTCTTTTTTGTGCCATGTTAGGACCATTCTTTTTCTCGCTTTGGTCGGTACCATTTTGTTGTCACAATTTATTTTCTTAGTGACCATAAGGTTCATACTACACGTGTCGACGAGCAGACAAAGCATTGAGTGCGAGCCAGTTTATATTGCTGGAACAAAAAGAAAAAAAAAGTTGTTACTTGAATCTGATATTGCTAGAGATCGTAGTTAGAGCTACATATCAATGAGAGAAATCTAGAAAGATGATGTGGTGTTACCACTTTCGAGGGGGGTCATACGGTCATTAGTGCGATGCGGTGTTTATACAGACGAGGGGGTCATATATCGTTACTGTTTTTAACACATTTATTGCTCTTTTTCATTATAGGTCAGAGTAGTCACGGTAGATAGTAGTAGTAAGGGCAGAATTATCGGTACATCTTAGAAAAGTTCTTAGCATTTAATTACCTAAAAATAAATCTAAAATCTATACTATTATTTGCGAAGTGATTTTTCGCAACGGAGCTCTCACGTTAAAAGTTGGAGTGGTTAATATCGATATTACCCTTAATGAATAGAAAATAGAAATCAGCTAAAAATAAAAACGAATTTAATACTTATTTGTGTTGTTATCCGGAAAATATATTTTAACTAAAAAAGTTCAAAAACTGAAAACACATAAATAAATATTCATAAAGTAAAATTTTTAATTGTATATAATTCAAAAAAAGAAAATTGAAAATTTATAATACATCATTATTTTCAAATTAAAAGAATATAATAATATAATATAATGATAATATAATGTAATCATATAAAAGTATTTTAGTGTTTGATTTAGGTTTTTTAAAACTATAAAAAATAACTTATAATATTATTTTAGAATTAATAAAACAAAAAATAATAAATATTCGCTAAGAAAATTAAGCCCGCATGTGCGGGCAAAACACCTATTAATAAAATATAAGAAAATACTGATCATATTTTGAGTCTCTCATATTTTTATAATATTCTCTATTTAGTTCGAAAAACACAAACTCTCTCTAGAAACCCTAGCCGCCAGGGGCTTCTTCCTTTGGTCCTCTCCTCCGCCATGGATACCAGTCATGTTGCCAGAGCCTGACCCTCCAGCACCTCCAGATCCACCCTCATCTCTCGTTAAAAGTTAAAGTGGTTAATATCGTTTATACCCTTAATGAATAAAATATATAAATCAGCTAAAAATAAAAACAAATTTAATACTTATTTGATTAGATATATGATTTAAATTAATAATAATGATTACAATTATCCATAATCTAAATATATATTTAAAAATAAAATAAAAAGATAATTCTTATAGATATTGTGTTGTTATTCGGAAAATATATTTTTAATAAAAAATTCAAAAACAAAAAACACATAAATAAATATTCATAAAGTAAAATTTTTAATTTTATAGAATTAAAAAGTATAATACATAATTATTTTCAAATTAAAATGATATAATAATATAATATAATGATATATATTCGTGAAGTTATTTTTCACCTCTGAACTCACACGTTAA